TCCGCGCCGCGGCCCGTTGGTTCTCGCACCCGTGAGTGATCGATCCCCTCTGTTTCGTCCCGACCCGTCCGGCCCGCTTCCCACCTTTTTTTCTTTCGTTTTGGTGGGTTTTGTTTTTGCTTCTTTTTTTAATTTTTTATTCTTAGGTTAATCCCCATACATTACATCATTAGTTTTAGATGAAGTGTTCCATGATTCATTGTTTGTGCACAACACCCACTGCTCCATGCAGAATGGGCCCTCCTCAATACCCACCACCAGGCTAACCCATCCTCCCACCCCCCTCCCCTCTAGAACCCTCAGTTTGTTGTTCAGAGTCCATCGTCTCTCATGGTTCGTCCGCCCCTCCGATTTCCCCCGCTTCATTCGTCCCCTCCCGCTACCTTCTTCTATTTTTTTTCTCTTCTTCACAGAGATTGCGTTATTTGTTTCAGAGGTACAGATCTGAGATTCAACAGTCTTGCACAATTCACAGCGCTTGCCAGGGCACCTACCCTCCCCAGTGTCTATCACCCAGTCACCCCACCCCCCACTCCAGCAACCCTCAGTTGGTTTCCTACGATTGATTAAGAATTCCTCCTATCCGTGAGATCATAGGATACAGGTCTCTCTGTTGGTCGCTTTGTTTTTGTTTTTTAGATTTTACTGGACAGAGACACAGCGAGAGAGGGAACGCAAGCAGAGGGAGTGGGAGAGGGAGAAGCGGGCTTCCCGCCGAGCAGGGAGCCCGATGCGGGGCTCGATTATCGGGACCCTGGCACCCTGGCACCCTGGCACCCTGGGATCATGACCTGAGCCGAAGGCAGACGCTTAATGACTGAGCCACCCAGTCGCCCCCCACTTTCCACCTTGACCGTGCCTAGTCGTCCACCCGTCTAGTCCTCTTGGCCGCGCCTGGTCTTGCCCTCGAATGTGTTCGTCTGGAGCACAGAGCTAGATCCAGAGAATGAGAGAATGAGATCGATGGACCCACGGACGGAAATCAAGTTTCTCTTTCCCTGAAATGACCTAGGACACTCCTCTTCTAGTCAGCTCCCATCCTGCTCCCCCACCCCCAACAACCTCTCATCGGACCTTCCCCTTTTGCCACCAGAAAGCTTTTCCACTCCTCCGCCTGGCCTGCGTTTGCTTGGCGTCTCTGCCAGACCCAGGCGGTGGTGGCCGACCGCAGACTCTCTTGCCCTCAAGAAATGATTCCCGCTCTCATGTGGGTGATCTTTTATCTCCACAGAGGTGATTAGTTTGGGGAACAAATAAAAGCACTCAGAATAAAAACCATGCCCAGTATCATGCACGCCCTCCTCCCCCTCCCCCCCTCCCCCTCCCCCTCCCCCCTCCCCCTTCCCCTTCCCCCCCTCCCCCCTTCCCCTCCCCCCTTGGCCCCCTTCCCCCTTCCCCCTTCCCCCTTCCCCTCCCCCCTTCCCCCTTCCCCTCCTCCCTTCCCCTCCTCCCTTCCCCTCCCCCCTTCCCCTCCTCCCTTCCCCTCCCCCCTTCCCCTCCTCCCTTCCCCTCCCCCCTTGGCCCCCTTCCCCTCCCCCTTCCCCCTTCTCCCTTCCCCTCCCCCCTTGGCCCCCTTCCCCTCCCCCTTCCCCCTTCCCCCTTCCCCCTTCCCCCTTCCCCCTTCTCCCTTCCCCTCCCCCCTTGGCCCCCTTCCCCTCCTCCCTTCCCCTCCTCCCTTCCCCTCCCCTCGTGGCCCCCTTCCCCTCCCCCCCCTTTGATGTCTACATGAACCGACAGACTGCATGCATGGCATGTATAGATGGATGGATGGATCGATGGATCGATGGATCGATGGATCGATCGATCCATGGATCGAACGGTGAAGAGAGCCAGGGTGAGGGTGAGGGTGAGGGTGAGGGTGAGGGTGAGGGTGAGGGTGAGGGTCCCGTCCGTCCCTCCCTCCTTCCCTATGTCCATCACATTGTTTCGTCACAGATTTTCGAAGTGGAGATACAATTCGCATGCCATATTTCGCATACTCTTAAAAGTGGGCCATTGGGTGGCCTTTTTTTCTTTTTTTTTAAGGTGGCTCACAAAGCTGCACAACCTTCACTGCAATTTCCAGAACATTTCCATCACCGCCAAAAGAAATAAACACCTCTACTACCCCTCCCCCCTTCCTGTCCGCGCCTCGCCCCCACCCGCCGTCACCGTCGCCCTCGCCGTCACCGTCGCCCTCGCCCTCACCCGGGCTCTCTTCACTGTTCTCCCCCAACAGGGAGTAGAAAGGGAAGTTAGAGGGAACATTCTTCCTCCCCTACACCTGCTGAACGCACATGGACACACACCGCAACCCTCCCCGCCAGGCGCGCGCACCCACCCACCCCCGCCCCGCCAAGCCCCGCCCCGCCCCGCCACGCCACGCCACGCCCCCCATCCCGGCCTTACGTGTACCTTACGTACCTCTGCACGGACTCGAGATTTGGCAATAGCCTTGATTGCCCTGCAATGTTTCCAAACCTCGGCGCTCCCCAACCTTCCCCACCCCGACCCCCGCCCCTTCGAAGAAGAACTAACCTAATTCGGGGAGCTTCCAGGTTGCTTGAACGCCTGAAATGGTGGGGACAGAGGCGTTCCTGGAGAGGGGTCACGGAACACGGAAGCTCTGCCCCCCTTCCCTTTGCCTCTGTTCCATCTGGAGTTTCCTCAGTTGTATCCTTTTAGGACACAGCGGTCATGTAAGAAATGAGAAAAAAAAGGACTGAAGGACTGAACCGGGCTAGACTGGTTTAAAATTCTTCACTAGCGTCCATGCCGAATACATTTCGACGACAGGGGCCTTCGCACGGCTTTTGGTGCACAGAAGACCGATGCACCGAAGCCTGCCGATCTCGGGACGTGTCCACGAGGGGAAAGAGTGTCAGCCTATCGGAAAAGAGAGTCGGTTAACGTAGATTGCAAAGGCATTCGTTCATCCCGAGAGACTTCCTCTCCATGATGGCGGGTGGCGCGAGATGGAAGAGTTGGCTTCCATGAAAAAGGGGCCCTTTCTTGAAGACCCTGCCCAGCTATCGGGGTTTTGTTGGTTTGTGTTTTGTCATCTGTGATAGGAAGGCATCTTCTTAGCCATCGGGAGGGAAACCTCAACAAATTCAGCCATTCAGATCACAAGGGATTTCTTGGGTTTGGTGGATCTGAGATCTGGTCTGCCTCCGACTGCTCCCCGAGATTGCCTTTATGCCGAGAATGGGATTCCTCATCAGACACACAGAAGTCCGGCTCCTTGCCACGGAGCTGGCTGCTCTATGGATGCCTTTAAAAAGGAAGCCTGCCTTTAATTCGGACGTCGGAACGTGATCGGTCGCTTTTTCATGGGGGGTTGGCCAATTAAATTTCCCCCGCCTTGGGCGCCTGGGTGGCTCAGTTGGTTAAGCGGCTGCCTTCGGCTCCGGTCATGATCCTGGAGTCCCTGGATCGAGTCCCGCATCGGGCTCCCTGCTCAGCAGGGAGTCTGCTTCTCCCTCTGACCCTCCCCCCTCTCATGTGCTCTCTCTCATTCATTCTCTCTCTCTCTCTCTCTCTCTCTCTCTCTCTGTCTCAAATAAATAAACAAACAAACAAACAAACAAATAAATAAATAAATAAAATCTTAAAAAAAAAAAATTCCCCCCGCCTTACAAAGCAGAGACTGGTGAAGGGTCCTCCAAGTGCCCTCTGGAAATCAAGAGCTTCTGTATCAAGAGGCTGGAAAACGCATCTTCCCCTTCTTCCTGGTGAATCCAATTCTAGGGGTTGATTCAAAGGAAATCATGTTTTAGATGCTAAAACGTAAAGCTTACTTTTGCAAAAATGTGCATCGCGGCATAGGGTTTAGGAATCCCTTGTGGCAGACCGACAACCGTGTGTCCCTCACGTCCCGGCACGTGTGCACCCTCACGTCCTATGACTTCGATGCTCCTGCTATCCAGAGGTAGGCTTGATTGCTCTGTCCCTTGATTTTGGACCGGGTCTTGGGACTTGTCTTGACCCAAAGAATAGAGCAGAAGTGACACTTGGCTGGTTTCACAGCCTACACCTGAAGAGGTGGTCTGCCGGCGTTCTCGACCTTCTTGGCATGCCGTCCTGAGACCTCCACGTAAGAAAGCCAGTCTAGCTGACTGGAGCATGAGAGGCATTGACAACAGAGGCAGCCCGGTGCTCGGCGGCACCGACTGCCAGACGTGTGAAAGTTGACCCTCTGGCCGAAAGCCACTGCTTGAGTGAGCCCGGCGTAAACCCGCAGAACCCAAGGGGCCACCCAGGGCAAGCACCAGGAAGTTATCGATAAAGAAATGCTGTTTCGAGCCATTGCGGTGTTAGGATGATGCACCCTGAGGATCAGCTAGCTGCGCAGCAGCGATAGATACCGTGCACACAGATACACACCACACAACACACCACACCACACCCCCCCCACACACACACGTGTGCAGAAAACCAAACCAACGAAACAAACCAAAACTCTGTAGAACCCTGCACCAAATGTTGAGGAAACAACGGCCCACCCTCACAAGAAACACCTGCACGCTACATGTACAATGCATAGGGAGCCTATACTTGCAAGTGCTTACTTGCATGGGAAACATTTCACGATAACATGAGTCTCAGATGGCCCAAGCGGGGTTCTTTTGACATGTCTGAATTGTGTACACAATTAGAGAAAGCCTGCTAGGAGACTGGGTGATCAGAAACTAGGAAGCTCTTTGGTTCCCTCAGTGAAGCCCCGACTTTTGGGGAGGAACCAACACTCAGGGAGATGCTCTGGTCTTCATTTGGTTGGTTGGTTGGTTGGTTGGTTGGTTGGTTGGTTGCTGCAGCTTTTGCTATCTTTGCATAAAACCGACCCTGTTTCCATTGGGAATGGAAAACAACTGACGGGTGGGATCTGTACACGGTAATGCTGCTTCGCAGTTGCATTTGTTTTACTAAAAGAGGGAGATTTGAACATTGGGTCTTTCGTGTCCTCTCCATTCATGTCCTCTCCACAAATAAGACTGAAACAAAGGCTAAAATTTGTTTGCATCTTGTTTGTGTCTATGTGTCCGTATGTGTTATACATGTGAGGTATTTCCTCCACCTCCGGGTGCTATTGCTAACATCCATTTGTAAAGGAGCTCTATTTAATGAGTTCTATTTTTATTTTATTTTATTTTATTTTATTTATTTTATTCTTTAAAGATTTTATTTATTTATTTGACAGAGAGAGACACAGCGAGAGAGGGAACACAAGCAGGCGGAGTGGGAGAGGGAGAAGCAGGCTTCCCGCCGAGCAGGGAGCCCGATGCAGGGGCTTGATCCCAGGACCCTCGGATCATGACCTGAGCTAAAGGCAGACGCTTAACCACTGAGCCATCCAGGTGCCCCGAGTTTTATTTTTATTAAAGATTCTATTTATGTCTTTGAAAGAAAGCGAGTGAGAGAGCACACGAGCTGGGGGTGGGGGGGCATTGGGAGAGGGAGAAGCAGACTCCCCGCGGAGCAGGGAGCCGGATGTGGGGCTCCATCCCAGGACCCCAGGATCATGATGTGAACGCAAGGCAGACACTTAACTGCCTGAGCCACACAGGTGCCCCTACTTAAAGAGTTTAGAGGCAGGTGCTCGTAAAAATCGGGCATGGTAAAACTCAGATAAGAATAAACCCAGTTTTTCAAGCTCACATGATCTGGGATGAAATTCCCTACATTCAGACTCTTATGTCACTCCACAATAAAGATGCCTCAAGGTAAGGGACCCAAGGGACGGCCCAGAGATAGACAAAAATTTAACACACCTGACCTTACCCCCACTTCCCAACAGTCAAAATAATGAAGAAGAGGAGGAAGACAGGCCGATGCTAGAAATCTGAAATCCACTCCTCCTCCTCCCCAAGTACAGGCACCAGAACCGATGCCCAACCCACTGGCTTCCGGAGGGCTGAAAAGCCACCACAGACAAAGCCTATTAAGCAGAAGGAGATGAAGAAAGGGCGGAGGCGGAGGCGGAGGCGGAGGCGGAGGCGGAGGCGGAGGCGGAGGCGGAGGCGGAGGCGGAGGCGGAGGCGGAGGCGGAGGCGGAGGCGGAGGCGGAGGCGGAGGCGGAGAAGAAAAAAAAGAAAAGGTTCGTCCAAAACTGTAAATGTATATGTGCCCTGGGCCTTACCAATGGCTCCCTTGCCGCCTCCCCTGCCCCGTTTCTGCACCACTGGTGTGTGTGCCTGGAGTGCTCTACTCCCCTGCCGCCGTCTCAGCCGCCCTTCCCTACCCCCGCCCCCCCGCCCCCCCCCCCCCGGGTGCCATGGGCTCCCCTTTCTCCTCCTCCTCCTCCTCCTCCTCCCCACCCCCTTATCAAGGAGCAAAAGCCCTTGCCCTTGGGCCCAAGCCCTTGGGCCACCTCCTTATGAGGTTTAAATTGGAGCACCTCCCAAACTAGCAGGAAGGGGCCCGAGGGCTCCGCTGATCTTAGACCGCCCGCTTCAGACTTTCCCCAAGGAGTCTGATGGGGGAAAACAATCGATTGACTTTTTAGTGGACGCAGGTGCAACTTCTTTGGCGTTAAAGCCAATTCAAGGTTGTTGGTTTATTTTAAAAAGACGTGGTTTTGGAGCTATCAATGTCACACATAATACAAATAATCAACTTTGCGTTTCTTTCTTTCTTTCTTTCTTTCTTTCTTTCTTTCTTTCTTTCTTTCTTTCTTTCTTTCTTTCCCTTTTTCTTTCTTTCTTTCTTTCTTTCTTTCTTTCTTTCTTTCTTTCCTTTTCTTTCTTTTCTTTGTCATAAAAGCACTTGGATTCGGTTCTCCCTGCGTTACAAGCCGTTGGGTGGGCAGTGGAATGTGCCACGCTCCCGTCACAACAGTGAGCCTGTATTTGTGGTTATCAAAATATACCTCTCCATCACCTTTATAAAAACCAACCAACCAACCAACCACGTTTGGGTGCCTGGGTGGCTCAGTCGTTCAGCGTCTGCCTTCGGCTCAGGTCATGATCCCAGGGTCCTGGGATCGAGCCCCGCATTGGGCTCCCTGTTCATTGGGGAACCTTCTTTTCCCTCTGTCCCTTCCCCTGCTTGTGTTCCCTCTCTCGCTGTGTCTCTCTCTGTCAAATAAATAAAATTTATGAAATATATTCATACATTTGCCAATCTAAAGAATTCTGGTGTAATAGAGAGTGCGCCATTGGTTACTACTAACGTTTCACCAGAGACTGAGATTTCTAAGAATTAAAATTCTGCCACATGGAATTGGGACTGCTACAAAATGATAACAAAAACAACTCCGTGTGTGGGAAGGTAGGAGACGTGTAAAAGAGGTACAAGAAATGAGAAAACATTTTTTTTGTTGAGGGAAAAGGAAGTAATGGTGTACTGAAACGGGACTGGGTACTTAAAGAAAGAAAACTTTAAGACCGAGTCTGAATGAAAAAGGAAATTGTGGAAGGGGTTTGTGAAGGAGAATTTTTGAAAAGGAATTTTATGCATGGTCAGGACTGACTGAGCTTGGGAGAAGGCAGTTTGAAAAGCACACTGGTGGAACTGGAGGGT